GTGCGCACGCAAGAGCTAGTTTTCTTTTCTCTGTCAACTGCGCCTCTTGTGCAGCCGTTTGAGAATTGGTGGCATTTTGTCGCAGGCCCTAAAAGGGGTGGGCCATATAAAAGGACAGACAGTGTGGATGTACTGCACGCTCATTGGTGACCCAGAAGTTGACAAGCCTGCAGGTTTTACAGATGCCCTGTTGCTGCAGAAGAGCAGCATTGCTCTGCTTGTTGCTAGTCAATGAGGAAAGTTGAATGAAATTCACTTGCAGTTCAAGTTACCAAGTAAGTGAAAGTGATGAAGAGCCAACACATAATGCTGCAACACACAGTGCTGGCCGCTGACAGTGTGGAAAATAGAACATCCTGGCCGCTCACTGAGCAGAATGTAGAATACTTACGGCATTGAAAATAACACAGCGTGATATCCCTAGAATATAGCACAGCCCTGGAACGACCATGGCATAAATGGGAGCTAACACAGAATCTCACGTTGGTATGAGATGTGGGCAAGTTTGTGATATGTACCAAGACATAATAAGAATACTTTTAACCCTTTTTTCCCTCAACAGTCTTTAAAAGCTTTTTTCAAAATTTGTGTAGAAAATAAAGCATCTTTTGAAACTACCACAGGAACTAGAGGAGAAAAAGAAGAAACTGAAGGAATTTGCAAACTTTGTCAAATAAAAAAAAAAAAATTAAAGTAGTTGAAGACTGTGACCATAGAGCAAATAGGCAAGTGTGAAGAGCACTGCAACATCGTGGTTAGCAAATCACTAAAATAATTGATACTAATTTTTTTTACTTGCTTTTCTGATTGAATTTTTTTCTTTTTGTCACAGTGAAAAGTAATCAGTGAATACAAATGGAACAAAGAATTGAACGCTTTCCTTTCCTTTGACCATGATAAATGTGCTTTTGTTGACTTAGCCACATGGCACAAACATCATAATGAGGTTATAATGAGATAAATGATTACATCACAGTTTTCTAATGCGTTGTTTTCACCGCAAAATGCTTGTGTGAACATAATCATAAATCATAGCCACCATGCCTACACACCATGCCTACACACCATGTACCAGGTGCATGGGCCACTTCCCAAAGACTTCATGTCATCAAAAACCTGTAAAGACCTGAAAATGGCTTTTTCGGGGCAATCGGCTTTAAATCCGTCCTGGAGAGAAAAGTTGAAAGCAAGAGGTAGACCATGATACAAGTGGCAGAACATGATCCTGAGAGCAATCAGTCTGAGAGACTACAACCAAGACAGTAAACAGTAAGTGTTGGAGATTCATCGCAGCTAGCCTTCTTGGTTAATAATGCAGCTCATTAATCGGTTATCATTTCTCAATTATACTATATTTGAAAAATTAATTCAGCTTTGTTATGTTTTATTTTCAGATGTTTCTCACGTGATTGGAGACAGTTGTTATATGATTATGTTGTAACCATGCCATAGGCAGATAAAACCACCATACGTTGTGTGTTGTATTTTCATATACACCCAAGAACAGAAGTGGGAGCTTCATATATTTACCTCCTTTGTGTTATGTTAATGTTCCATAGCTGTTGAAACACAAGTACAGCACACTTTAAATTCAGGTATTCACCAGGATTTAACGGCATTATTTTGTGTGTGGGTAAGGTTGAATACAGTTTGCTAAATCACAGGATAATTGCAAGAAATGAGTCTTCCCAGATCTTCTGCTTTAAAACAGCCTTCCCGTATAGGTCGGCCATCTGGATTACCTACAGCTCGGCCACAGACGCCAGCCTCAGGCAGCAGTACAAATCAACACCCGCAGAGTGCGGCACAAGCACACATGTCCAAGTCTCAAAGTGAGTGTTCTTCTCATAGATAACTACAGTACAGACAGGGGTCTTCCTAATTCATTAAGCTGATGTATTTTCCCTGTGTGGGTTCAGGGACTCATTTAAAAAAATAAAACAAATGGTGGGGGGGGGGGGGGGGATATACCAGCCAACTCAAAGAGTTAAGTTTTCATAGGATTGAAAACCAACAATGCAATCATCTTACTTCACATGTTTGTCAGTGTATTTGTGTTCATTTGTTTTATTGTGCATGTAGGCTTGATAGTCACATGTTTGTCAGTGTATGTGTGTGCATAAAGGCTTGATGGTCACATGTTTGTCAGTGTATTTGTGTGCATTTGTTTTATTGTGCATGTAGGCTTGGTAGTCACATGTTTGTCAGTGTATTTGTGTGCATAAAGGCCTGATAGTCACATGTTTGTCAGTGTATTTGTGTGCATTTGTTTTATTGTGCATGTAGGCTTGATAGTCACATGTTTGTCAGTGTATTTGTGTGCATGCAGGCCTGTTGGTCACATGTTTGTCAGTGTATTTGTGTGCATGTAGGCTTGATGGTCACATGTTTGTTAAGGTGGGTTTTCCGTGCGGGTTTCAAGGCCCTACTTTGGGGAAAACGAGAATAGAACCCCTGCATGTCGTAACAGGCGACTAATTAGGGTTGTTTCCTGTGAAGTTAGAATCTATTGACCAGACAGGTAATAAACCGACAGTTGCACACTAATAAGCCGGATCTGTTAAACGGATGTACACACAAAAAATTAAGTTATGAAACGAGACCAATGTCCAGAAGTGGACAATCAATCATAACTTTCAACCAGACTATACAGCTGGTCAACGTGAAGAAGAAAAGGTAGGAATTTTGTAAGTTATCTTGCGTACCCTGGTTGAGCTAGCCTAAAGTTGCCATCAGTAACAGGAAATGTTCATGGTATTAAAGATAGCTACATCACCTATTGTGTGTCATTCAGCCTATAAAAATATGGAACGTGTTCAGCTAGACACTCAACACACCCCTAGGCAATGGCACAGGCCCGTTTACTAGAACCATCATGATTTCAGACACAAGCCATGCATGATTGACTCTTTTCTAACCCCATCCAGTGTGTGTTGTACTCTTTTACAGTGGTGTTGGGGGGGTTGGGGTTCACCAGCCTGAAGGTTACACTAAACAGTGGAGACATCTTGTGCTTGAAAGTACATTCGGTGAGGGCAAAGGCAAGAATGACAGACTCTTACTGTTACCATTGGAAATAGAACTCTTTCACTGGCTTCTGAAGATGGGGGACGGGGTGCCTCTGGGCATGTCCTGAGTGCTATGCTGTCAGTTGTAAACTCAACAGTGAGACAAGAGAATGGGCCAGACACAGGGAAATTTTACACCACCTATGATGAAAACAAATATTTCACAAAGAACTTGGTACCTGATGATAATAAACTATATTGCGTTTTAAAAGTCATCACACTTTATCAAAATCTTGACAGCTCATGTAGGGATCATCACAAATTTATGCCTGTGGCCTTAGATTTCCCATTTTGCAATAGCACAGATGCTGCTGCATTCCGAAAGTGACGAATTTCTTTGATCTTTGGTTAATATTTTGTGCAGCGATGCATGTTGATTATTTTGATAGCCTGTGTACAAGAAAAAATTCACAATTCACAGGAGGCTAATGCTGGTGATGACCATTTGAGAGTAGAACCCCTATGAAATGTGTCAATTTATGTTTTTAAAAATTCCTGTTACTCAGTTAACTGTAAGCATGCTGACTGTTTGCTTTCAGTCAATGTCTGTTTCTTAGTGTACTGCAAATAAGGCAAAATGAAAACCAGATGTTTGTTTACATTAACCCCCGTGTGGGTTTCGAGGCCCTATTATAGGGAAAACAAGAATTGATCCACTGCCTCTCGAAAGTATGTCGTAAGAGTCAACTAATTGGGAACTTCCTTTGAAGTCGGAGTACATCTGCCTGAGAGGCAAGGAACCAGCCAAATTAGTCAGATCTGTCAAACGGATGCACACACAACACTCAGATTCTGGAACAGTCTAGAAGTGGATGAACAGCCAGAACTTACCGCCGGAGTTTACAGCTGGTGAGCCTGAGAAAAAAAAAAGAAAGTTTACATTTAAAAATGTCTTTCAGTGACATGATTATTAACATGTTGCATTTTGTCAAATGACATGGAACAGTGACTGAGTTGCAGATTTTTAAAGTTGGCCAAGACTTCTGGAACAGACTATCCCTCAGTTAAAACCCAGTTAATGTTAATTTGCCCTGAGAAGCCTCCCTGTAGTACAGTGGAACATTATTGTGAGGAGAGAGAGGGAGAGGTGCCAGCAACAACAACAGTTGGACATGCCAGATGTAACCAGGGCCCTTAAGAGAAATAGAGATCAGTTGAGCTGTAATCTGCCACGCATGTTATGAGGGCTGACTACAGAAATGCCCACCCCATCAAATTAAAAACTTGCTTAGTGAGGACTATCATCACAGCACTCCAGGCAGATCCATAGGTGCTTTGATCTCCTTCCCAGTAGCTCCACAAGAATTAAACATGTCTTGATGCTTCCGGTTACACTCTTATGTCCAGCAGCATGAACAAGAATACTGAGTCCTGCTTGTTGTTGTGATCTTCTTCGCGATATGCAACTCTCATGGCATTAGTGACATCACTTCTTTTCAGTACTTGGCTCTTCATGGTAACTACACTGTCTGCCAGATAATCTGGCTGCTCATTGCCTTGAAGACCCACTGTAGCCAGGCAGAATTATTCATCATGCATTCAAAGTCCAGCCACCTATAGCAAATGTAAGGAAAGGAAGGAAGATAACTGAAATAATATGGAGAGGACTTGGAAGAAGCTGCAGGTCAGATTAAAGGGTTCAGTCCGAGTTTAATTGAGACTTAAATTTAAGCTTTATTAGCAAGAAAATGCAGAAGTATTAAAATAATGTTAACTCTTTTTGTAGCAGAGGAAGTTAACTTAGAAATCAATGCATGATGTATTTATAGGAAGCCAGAAAGTTAAAATAGGGCCCTTACTGTGTAACTTTTCATTCCCATCCTAAAACAGCCAGATCATATTGTACAATTATTGTAACTTTGTGTTAAAGCATGCAGTGTTGAGCTTTGGTTGTGTGACTTGCTGTTGTTTTGTTGTATCTTGCTAACCAAGGTGCTATTGCCAAGTCAGCGCGGGCAGCAGGGGTGTGCCTTCAGCATGCTGAGCACTATGCTGCTGAAATTTCCAGGGAGCTGAAAGGTATAACTCTTTCAACCCCAAACAATGTGTGATGTGTGCTTAGCTCTACCGTTACTCCTACCTAACACTGAATGTATTCTCGTAATGTATACATTTGATCACTAGATACTACAGAAATACGGCTTCCTCACTATTTAGCTTCTTTAAAGGTAATATGCCTATGGATTTTCTTAGTGGTAATGTATAAACACGGGTATCTCATATCGAACCTTCTGGTATTCAACAAGATAATTATCATAATCAAGTGCCAGAAAGTATAGGTATTTATGCCCCCCTCTTCCCTCCCCCTCTCCCAATTCCCCCCTCTCACACACACACAGAATTTTGGCTCTTGGTATTCTGGTCCTTGATGTTCTGATTTGACTCTGGCCAAAACATCCCAGCAGCTTTTAGAGGTTGCTCATAATAGTACTGGCAATGATTTGCGGGCCACCTGTTAGGAGGGTGTCTCCTAAGTTTCCACACATAGGACAAATAAATGTTATTTATGAAAACCATTTTAATTGACATAACATGCTCTACGTGACTACCTTTGTTTTGAAAACATATTTTAGTGTGTGTCCTACATTGCTAAAGAACATGTGTAAGCACAGCAGGACTTATGCTTGTAATGATGTTGATCATATGTTTATTTGTTCTGTGTATGAAAATCGTCAGGAAAGCATGCAAGCCACTGAACCACACCTGCCCCCATATCCCCAGCATGCATTCATGTTACTTCAACCAAGTTGCTTAACCCTTTCATCAGTTGGCCAACTCCTGAGGTGTGTTATTTATAGTTCTGTGAATTTCCCTGTGTTTTCACACACAGAGAAAAAAAAAGTAGGTTAAAGAGCAGAAAATGGAGAGAACCGAGATTGCTACCTGTTGCCAGGTGTCAGCTTGCCAGGAACATTAATCTGACATTCCTGAGCTGAAAACATTTGTCTAAACTTAGCCTGTAGTGTTTACTGCACATTCCTCTTTCAGTCTTTACTCAATTAAAGGTATTCCAGGCATGTTGGTATTATCATGAAAAGATATCAACCAAACAAAAAATATAACTTGTCAGCTCATTTAAGGTATCACAAATGAAAATTGTGACTAGAGATGGTACTGTAATGTGTATTTTTCTTTTGCCTTTGGGATAATTTGTTGTTGTTGTTGGGACAAAAATAGAAATTCTAACCTGCACAGTTCTTGGAGACTGCAGTAACCATGCTGTCTGAATACTGTCTCATGTCCTTCTCCCCCTCCCCTACCCTCCATATTCCACTGCTGTAAAAGTGGCAAGTACAGGCTGTACAGATTCGCTTGAGGTGTAAGCCTAACAGGTGGCCTGTATTATGAGCGATTTCTAAATGCTGGGATGTTTTGGTCCCCTGAGTGAATTCAGCTGAATAGTCCAGTAAAACATCAAAGACCAAAATACCAAGGGCCAAAATCCTGTGGGGAGGCATAAATACCTGTACTATCTGGCAAAGCACTTGATGATGATCAGTATCTTGTTGATTACTAGATGGTTTGATATGATACACCCATATTTATACATTATCACTGGGAAAATCCAATGCCCTAAAAGTGGTAAGCACAGGCTGTTGTTTATGGTTGGTTATTCTTCACGAGTACACATTAGCATTACCCTCATCCACAAGCATGCTGTGCCAGGTGATGTCATCTATACAGATGGCTCATTGATTCATGGGCTGCAGTCTTAGTTGGCATACACAGCGCAGGCCAATGGAAAGGCAGTTAAAGAAGAAGAAGTCAAGCATTCAGTTAAACTACTTCTGGCATGACGATGGAGATAGTACCTGTCACAGGGGCGCTTGCATGGCTGGCTGGAGGGGCAAAAAACAGCTCACGCATTGATAGTGACAGACTCAGTGAGCATGCTTAAGAAGATCCAAACTGGCAAACTTCAACTAGAATGGTTTGACAGGATCCAGAAGTCCTGCCTTAAGCATCTAAGTGAAAGAGCTGGCAGACTGGGCCATGCCTGCAGTGGCTGGTGGAGGAGGAAGTCTGGACAGGGCAGACGTATTAAATGCGCGGCATTCTAGAAACCTTGAGAGGAAAGTGTCAGAGGCAATGAACTACCTGTTGGAAATGGGTATGAAACCAGATCAAGCATGTAGAAACTGGTAAGGAAAGAAAGATATACTGGGTACGTTAAGCATAGAGACAATGAGATGACTGCTGCATCAGATGCTGAAGCATTAATGGGTCGGACCAGTGTGCCAGGATGTTAATACAAACAGCTAGTAACAAGTAGCACATTAACATAACATGTGGAAATAATACTTTGTGCAGAATTTATTTCACGTATTACCATCAGGTAGCAAGTCCTGTGTAGGCCCATTGTCATCATGGTCTCCATAAAACATTCTCAATCCTCCTCATGTGTCCCCACCTCATACATGTCCTGGATGTCTTTAAATTCAGGTGTCCACCATCATGTTTGTTGATGAGTTCATTATCTTCCAGGAATTGTTACTGTTCTTTCTAAACTACCAACAGTTGAGTCAGCTTTTATTTGACATTGATTTGCTTATTATGGATCCTGGGTGTATTTATGGGCATGTGTCCACTGTCATTTTGGTCAGCGCATGCATCATCTCAAAGGAACAATGCTTGCCTTAAATAATGTTTGAGAAGTCCAACATGCATGCTGAGGAAGTGAGATGCCCCTTTGTTCAGGGAGTCAGAGCCTCTAGACTGCTTCCTGCAATCCCTAAAAGTGGAGCCTGTAATGAGCTTAAGGCTCAGTATGTGGAGGCGAAGTTAAACAGTCCTGTGCAGTTATGTGCAGAATGTTATGATTCCTGTGGTGAGCCCAGTACCAGAGTGCCATGTATTGGATCTGCGTTTATAGCAGTATTCTCTTGTGGTGAGAAATGCCCATGATCTTGCCTTTCCTTGAGAGTCAGACAAACTGCATGTGGCTTCCCTGCACGGTTGCTTTAAGGACAACATCTGTAGATCAGGGAATGACAGAATCCTCAAACGTATGAAGGCTACAAATGTCCCACAAAATTAACCAAGAAGGCTAACCCAGATTTTAAATATCTGAAAAAGTCTAATGTGTCAGCCAAAGGGGCAAGTGTTGCGGCATTACTTTAAACAGGCACAATACATTTACATCACTCAGGGGAACAATGAAGAAAGAAGATATTCTTTCTAAACTACTGGGGCATTCAGTATGGCCAGAGTTTTTGAATTTCCTAGACAAGTTTAAATTCTGTTTTTATTTCATCCTGATGTTTTGTTACAGGTCCAGAGTCCCTGGAAGATGGGATCGGCACAGATGACTTTAAGATTGGGGACAGAGTGTGGGTCAACGACACCAAGCCAGGTGTCATAGCTTTTATAGGCGAGGCAGAGTTTGCCCCAGGTGAATGGGCAGGCATTGTCCTAGATGAGCCTATTGGCAAAAATGATGGCAGTGTTATGGGAGTCAGGTATTTCCAGGTAAATCACCTGTTTGTTTATTTAGTTATTGTTTAAGTTGTCGGTGTTTCTGCTCTCTACCGCAGCTCTCTTTTGACCTGAAAATAAAGCCTTCTAAGTTGTTCCCTGTGTGGGTTCCAGGGCTCCCGTATTCTGGGGGAAAATGCAGAAGAAAAGACACACTGCTCCTTACACAGCAGATAATTGGGAGAGTTTCCTTTGAAGAGTGCATCTGCCTGAGAGGCAAGGAACTAACAGTCCACAAACAAATAAACCAGCTTTGTAGAATGGTTGTGCACATTAATCTCAAGTTCTGGAACAAAACCAGAGTCCAGAAGTGGACAAACAACCAGAACTTTCCATTGAAGCTTACAGCCAGTGAAGACCAAGAAGCGTTGTAAGTTGAGCCAAAAGTAATGTATTTGTTTCATGTCAGTGATGCATCAGGCACAGGATTTACTTTAACTAACTGTCCTTGACTCATTGAGCTGTAAGTGGTTTGGTTTTATAATAATACTAAACCTGGAAATCTTCATCAAATCGCATCTCATTGCATGTGCAAAGCTTTACTGCACAGTGCACCATATCACATCTCCTCTGGAAAGTGACTGATGTCACTCATGGAGAATTTGTGACCACTTTAAGCACATCTTCTCTGCTGATGCTGACACTTTTTGTCGGCTGGCTGAAGATATACAAGACTGTCCATGACTTTCAAGTTTGCTTTGACTCAGCCTTGTAGGGAAGCACCTATATTTCTTCCTTAATGTCAGTCGGGATCAGCAAGAGATTTTATTTTAAGCTAGTGCCCTTTAGTTTGTTTTGCTGCTTAGTTTTCTGGGCATCAGTCTGGGCACATGTTTGCCAGATGTTCAGTTTTTTGCTGTGGTGTAGATAAGGGGTCAGCAGATGTTTAGTACTGTTATGTTCAAGTTGAATTTTAAAAGTTGACAACATTCAACTTTGACATGACGCAACTAAACTATTGCTGACTCCTGATCTAGACCAAGGCGAAATGCTGGACGTCTAGCAAACATATGCTCCCGATTGATTTCCAGACAACGAAGCAGCAAAATTGAAACCAGAGGGCACTAGCTTTAAAAAAAATGTGTCTTGCTTATGATCCTGGCTAACACTGGGGAAGATAAATGGATGTATGACTTAGTGTTTAGTTTTCTGGGTATCCAGCGTGAGCATATGTTTGCCAGACATTTTGTCTTTCCTTGTGGTGTAGACCAGTGGTTGGCAGTTGTTTAGTATTGTCATGTCAGGGTAATGTTGCAAAGTCTCAGCGTGCCAACCCATGTCAATCATGTTTGTATACAACAGCTATTGCAACAAAATATTTTTTAAAGAATCATGTGCTTCTATTATTTTATGAGATCATACACTAGATGGACTTCCGGTTCCGGTTTCAAGATGGAGGGATGTTTTCCTTCAAGCTTGTCTCCAGTCCGTTGATCGGTAGCCTAACAAGCCGCCATCGTAAAACATCCACTGTTACAGAAACAGATTTCTAGCTTTAAACGTCATGTCGTTTCGTTCTAATTTGTTGAATGCCACCGATGTTTTTAAAATGGGATATTGGAACGTTAGAAGCAGGATTCAGACCGAATCGGTCATGCATCGACCATATATTCACACTCAGGACCATCGTAGAAGAGTCAGTAGAGTTTCAATCCCAACTCATCATCAACTTTGTTGATTTTCAGAAGGCCTTTGACAGCATACACCGCCCTACACTCTGGAAGCTACTCACAATCTATGGTTTCCAAGATAAATATGTCAATATTATAAAGGCCTTCTACACCGATTCCCGCTGCCTTGTTAGAACGGAATCTGGTAACTCTGATTGGTTCCCAGTAGAAACAGGCGTGAAACAAGGATGTGTCTTGTCACCGATGCTTTTCGGAATAGCACTCGATTGGGTCATGCGCAAATGCACACAGGACACACATCTAGGCATCAAATGGGTCGACAAAGTTCTCGTAGATCTTGACTTTGCTGACGACCTAGCACTCCTGAGCACAACACATCTAGAAGCTCAGGAAAAAATGGACCGCCTCCAGAATATTTCAAGCCAAATCGGCCTTCAGGTCAACGCAGCCAAATCGAAAATCATCGATCTTACCAACGAGTCGAAAGACATCAAACTAAAGGATATTGTTCTTGAAAAAATCACCAGTTTCACATACTTAGGGAGCAAGATAACCTCTGCGGGAGATACAACATCAGAAATAACGACTCGAATCGCATTAGCATCAAGTGCCTTTAACAAACTGTCAAACATTTGGAAGTCAAGATCACTCAGCAACAACACGAAACTTAAGGTCTTCAATTCCTGTGTGATCCCAGTGCTAACTTATGGTTGTGAGAGTTGGAAATCATCAGTATCAATCGATAAGAAACTAGTCGCTTTCGAGAATAGATGCCTCCGAAAGCTATTGAATGTTCACTGGTCGGACTTTAGGTCCAATACATCTATAAGACAGGAAACAAAACAAAAATATGTGTCTGATTTTATTAGAATGCGTAGCTGGAATTACATCGGTCACGTACTCAGAATGGACATACAGAGACTTCCCCACCAAGCCTTCATATGGTCACCAGAGGGTAAAAGAAAACAGGGAAGACCAAAAGAAACTCTCCGTAGAACCATCACAAGGGAGAGCTCAACCATATGTCTCAGTCGCACTCAAGACCTACATCAAGTGGCAACGAACCGACAGACGTGGAAAGCTATGACCTCTGCCCTATGCGCCATCTTTGGCACAAGAGGAATAACTAACTAATACACTAGATTTGATTGACATAGCTTGCTACTGAATGTGGTTCCATGTACCATGCTTACAAGCATACCTTAGGTTTTTTGATGATTTGTGTAGACTAAACAGTGAGAATATCTTAGTCATGTTGCTTCACCGCCCTTCCCTACTTGCATCCCTCAAGATGTTTCTGTTTCTATTTCTGTGGCATGACCAGCTTGGGTTCGCCTAGCGATTTGTTAGCTACTTCTATAGAGCTGATCATCTCATTTATACCACCTGTATAAACGGACGTTTCTCAACATAAATAGGTAGTTTCTTAGTAGTGTCCTTAGCAGGAAGTCTGCATCACCCTGGCGTAGTCCCTGTTTGTATCTTCGTGCTAGTCGCAATATTACACCTAGAAGTCTGCTCTTTAAATTAATCACAAAGTTTGGTGATTCTGCCGCTAAATGACACCTTCAGGAAATCTTCTTCTTTCATTCGCTTGAAATAGATTATATATATCTGCAGTCTTGTCTCTAGTATGAACTTGACTGAATGTTGTAATTCAATCAGCGACCCATACAGTCAGCGACCCATACAGTTTGGTTTGCACCGGTGTTTCTTTTGGCCAAAGGTTTTGCCTTGATGTGTTGTATTTGGGACAGTCTTGGAGGACATTTTCTGTTGTCTGAGGTGCTAATCCGCATGTACACATGGCTGATTTAGAATAGTAACTGCAAAAATAACTTACATATTGAAATTCCCTTTTTTTTCCCCCCAGTTATTTATAAAAGTTCATTTTTGGTATTGTAACTGATGAATGCATATTTTCTTTTTGTTTCGATAGTGTGAGCCGAAGAGAGGAGTGTTTTCTCGCCTTAGTAAGTTGTCACACATGCCCCGGTCACCTTCAGCCTCTCAGGGACATGATAGCACTGCAAGTGATGCTAAACCCTCAGACATTAAGTCGCTGACAGCTGTTACTGCGGCAACCAGCAATGGGGTTACACCTGCTGCCTCGTCAAGGCCATCAGTAAGTTGTAAAACACTGAGTGACTCAGTTCATAGTTGATAGGTCAGGTGAATACATATTGGAAGAAGTAGTGAGTAAGATGAAAGAATAGAATATGCGAAACAAAGTAATACATAAGGTGAAGGAGTAAATAAAGTAAGAAGTAAAACATGAAATGTAGCAATAAGTGAAATTAATAATAACTGAGGTGGAAATAAGAAGTGATTATTTTAATAACATGAAGTTAAGAACAATATGAAGTAATCATTTTGTTGACATGGTAGAAAGAGCAGTATGAAGTAATTAATTTAGTAAGGTGCAATACAGAGGGATGATTTAGGTGAGGTGGAAGAACAAAAAATATATACATAATTTCAGTTAAGGGATTGAGGAAAAAAAAAAAAAAAACAAGACACAAGTTTGCTTGAAGACAGTAAGTGAACTAAGTACAGTAAAACTTCAATTAACTGTCACTGCCCGGACCAGGGCTGTGATGTTTAACCGAAATGATGGGTAACAAATTTCTGAATATATAGTAAAGTAACGTGATTGCGCTACGGGCTTGGGACAAAAATGGAATTAAAATCCTTTAAAAGTGAATAATACGTACGGGTGCATACTATATTTAATTTTGCATAACAGTTAATATAAACTTCAATCATCATCATCATAAACCGCTTCTGACGTTAAGCGGCGTGGGGAGGAATAATTTGCGATCCAGTGCACGTTGGCTGCCACTGGCTATTGTCATGCCGTGAAGGCGTATGTGACGTTCCGGCCCACTCCCTTGGAAAGTACAACACTTTTAGTGTGACGTCCCGGGTCGTGGGTTCTCTGGATTTGGGTTTAAATGATTTATATGTTGAGTAGGGATTTTCCTCTTAACACATCCCCTCCACCAGATTAACTGAACTATTATCCGGGCTATGTTGCTCTCAGACAAAGTCCTGGATATCCAAGAAAACAGCCATATTGGCTCGTTATTTATATTAACTTTAGCTGAACTTGGTACCCACAAGAGAAGGAAATGGGTTTTAGATGTCTATATATTATTATCTTGAATGATTCACTAGACAGGGCAGTTGACCCAATCCGTCGACCTTCTCTTGGTAAAGAAATTGTATTATTATTATTATTATTATTATTTAATGAGCCCCCACCAAATGCTATTCTATCTTAACAGTTTAATTAAACATGTAAGAACAGACACACTTGGAATTATAAAAACTGATGCAGGATAAGACCATATAATTGATTTATTAACCTAGCAATCATTTTAGTTCTTTATATTTTTAGTCAATAGTGATGGTATGGTGGTAATGAGATGCTTCAGCTAGATAACTGAGCACCTAAGATTCGACTGAATGATAATGGTGGTGTTTAGTTACATAAATACATGTTACATAACTTTAGAAAGTGGAACCTCTGAGAGTCCTCGTGTTGAGTCCCTTCTTAGCTGTTCCAGTCTTTCCGCCCAGTTCTCCTGGTCCTTCCACCTGGTTCCCTGGTTCCCACCTGTTTCTCAGCTGGCCGAGTTCTAGCACAATGTAGTCTCGTGACCGTGATGACCCTCTATTTCTGTTCTCAGAAGAGACTGATCCTCACCCACATGGGAGCTGGAAACTTCCAGCTATCGCCAACTAGAATCAAACCATTAGAATTACCTCTAAAGTCGACCTGTTTGTTTGCTCGTGGCAGCGATTCTGACAGAAATTCCAGGGCTTGTCTTATTAATACCCCTATCTGTCTGCAAGGTTAACTCCACCCTCTACTAGGTTATACCCAACCCTAAAGGAGATGACCTAAGCCCCTCCTCTGAGGTACCTATTAGATCAACCTAGCTATCAAGGGCCTGTCACTCACAGTGAACAGCCTACAGTACGACCTTGACCAAGATTAAACATTCCTAATTGCCAAACATCTGTTCTCTTGAGAATTTCACTATCATGTGTGAAACTTTCAGACGCTGGACGCCGGCCTGTCTAGAAATGTCTACCTGACCACTAATTCCCCTGCTTCAAACGGCCCCACTCAGTCTGTGTTATGTAACTTTTTATGACACTAAAGTCGGGTTAAGGGGAGCTAATCAGGTGTGGTACGAAGTTATCTCCCCCTTTACTTGCCTCTACAGACTGGGCAGGAGATAATTATATGACATGGGCGTGAGAAAGGAATTCCTAGCCAAGGTAATATTACCTAAAGCAAGGTTGCTTTGTCTGGCTAGAGATTGGAAACGCAGTTTAAACAATACTCAAATCCCTTGTAGTGGTTTTAGAACTATTTTAGGCTCAGTGTCTATTGCTTTTAATTCTTTGTCCTTCTCTGAACATAAGAAATTATTAAACACAATATAACTTCTGAGACCACTGAGGTCATTTCGTCACATAGGCCCACGGTTGATTTTGGTCGTAGCTCGCTATGGCCAATGTTGTAGACACTCAGGTCAGTGATTTCTAAGAAGTTTAGTTTCACTTCTCAGCTCCTTTCTGTCCCAAGGTTTCCTTCGCCAGTATTCCTTGTGGAATCTAGATGTTCCCTGCATCGTTGTACAGTCACCGCATATGTCCATCTTCCAGGCTAAGTCCTTAGTCCTA